GGTTCGTGGACATCTTGTCTTTCGGCGGTGAGTTCTTCACCAAGGTCTTGGACGGTAGGTTCTTCAGCGGCAAGCTCCTCGACAGCAGGCTCTTCTGTAGCCAATCGTTCAAAAGTTGGTTCTTCAGCGACAGGTTCTTCTGCTGTTCTTTCAGCGGTAGGGCCGTTAGTGACAGAGTTTTCCACCGCTGGGTCTTCGCCAACGAGTTCTTCAATGGCTGGTTCCTCTGTAATTAGTTCTTTGGCGGCTGGCTTCTCAATGGCGGGCTCTTCTGGAACTAGTTCTTCAATATTAGGTTCTGCAGGCGCAGGTTCTTCGACGACGCGTTCTTCAACGGCAGGCTCTTGAACTGCTGGATCGTCAACAGGTCCTTCAAGAGCATGTTCTTGGGCGGAAGGTTCCTGAACGCCTTGTCCTTGGGCCGCAAGCTCTTCAGCAAGATCTTGAACGGAAGGTTCTTCGGCGGCATATTCCTCAAAAGTACGTTCTTCCGCAGCGAGCTCTTCAGCCGTTGGTTCTTCAGTGGCAGGTTCTTCAGTGGTAGGGCCTTCAGTGGCAGGGCCTTCAGCTGCATGTTCTTCTGCAAGTCTTTCAGTAGGAGGTTCTTCGGCTACAAGGCCTTCAACCGCTGGATCTTCGCTAACGAGTTCTTCAACCGCTGGCTCCTGAAAGGCGGGCTCTTCTGGAGCTAGCTCTTCTGGAGCTAGCTCTTCGATAGCGGGCTCTGTAGCGATAGGTTCTTCCACTGCGCGTTCTTCAACGGTAGGCTTCTCAACCGTAGATTCCTCAACTGTAAGCTGCTTAGATACAGCCTCCTCTGCGGCGGGTCCTTCCGCGACGGGCTCTTCAGCGGCAGGCTGCTCGACAACCGGCTCCTCAACCACCGGCTCCTCGGCAGTGAGTTCCTCAGCAGTTACTTCTTCAACAGTCGGCTCTTCAGTAACAAGCTCTTCCTCAGCCAGTTCGTCTGCAGCAAAGGCTTTTGCAGCTGGTTCTAGCTGTTCTTCAGCTGGGTCTTCTTCAGGGTGTTCTCCAACAGCGGGGTGTTCCGAGTGAAGCGGCACTTCCTCCATCTTCGGCGCTTCTACAGCCGGCGGCTCTTCTTTGGTAATCTCGGTCTCCGTAATTATGGCAGGTTCTGGGTCAAAGACAATCAGTTTTGTGATGAGATGAGGACAAAACGATTCACACCTTCTACCTTTGTCGCCAACTCAGGCTCTTCCACCAACGTGGTTTCTGCTTTAGGCACCGCAGGTACTTCCTCGCTATCCTCTGGGGACTCGCTTACGTGCACATCTGCAGATGGAGCAGACGGGGGAGCCAAAGAGGGATGCTCTACGATCTGCCCTTGCAGTTCTTGATCCAGAGCGGGAGCTTCTTCAGTAGACAGGACTTCGGCTTCCTCAGGTACAACAGGCGGCGCAAGTTGAAGGACAACCGGAGCCTCCTCCATATGCTTAACATCTGCTGGTGGGATAGGCTCTAGAAGGCAAAACATAACAATATCAGGATTTGACGGCATTATTGGCATACCTCGTACCTGTTTCATGCGCTGTTTGTGCATTCTCCTCCACAGTGACCGCAACAGTCTCGGGCTGGCGCGGTTGTTCAATAACATCGTTCGCCGCGTGAGTCAAATGTTCCTCAGCCTGCGGGACGGGAGGGACAGCGACCGCGGGATGCTCAACGAGAGGGGCAACTTCTTCGACAGCAGGAGCTTCTGTCTCTTCTTGAACTTCTTCAGTATGCTCAATCACCTCAGCAGAGGGCGGCACCTCCGTAGCGTGCGTTTCCACAAGGGTGGTATGCTCCACTGGCGGCAGTTCATGTTCGTGGACCGCCTGGGCGTCAACCTTTGCAGGCTCCGGGACGACTTCAAGGACAGCGATCTCTTCGGGTTTTTCGAGAGGCTCTGCTGCCTGGTCAACCTCAGGCGCTGCCTTCATTTTCTCTGGCTCTGCTTCAACGGGTGCCTCCTTTGAAAGATCGTGCTCAGCCGAGATCTCCTCGATTGTTGGAGCGATAGCTTCCTCGATCACATTATTATAATGTCCAACAGGAACCTATTGTGCGATAAATACTTCGAAACCGCAAATTTTGATATAATCACGCACTGGAACTTCCTCCTCCACGACATCTGCAACGTGCTCTGTTTTCAGGGCTTCGACCAGCGGTTCTGCAGCAACTTCCTGTTGATGCTTTTCAAGAGCCTCAGGTTCGGTTATAACCTCATGTCCCTTCTCATGAATGTCATGAATAGGTTCTGGATGCACCACGATGGGCAGATCCACGGGTGTGGCGGCAGACTGGGCCGTCTGGTGGTGCTCGGTGGAAAAAGCGACCTCAAAGCCAGAGGGATCTGCGACAGTGTTGCTCGTTTCTTTGCTAGGTATATGCGTAGGCTTGTCGACCACCGCGTACTCAGATCCAAGTAGGGAGGCCTCGTTAGTCTCGTTGTCCTGACGGATTGCACCATTAGTATCAAAATGATTCTGGGCTTTTTTTTCCATGACGTACCGTGTGGGTACCGTTTTCCTCAAATTGCACAGGTACAGGCTGGTGCTCGTTGACTGTTTGTGGGAACGGATCTGACATTGTCGTAACTTGGTCGCGTTCGTCAACAACGCACGGTTTTCAATGTGAACCTGTATGCGGAAATGTGGGGTCAGATAGTGAAGCTTTTATGCAACCCAGAGAATACACACCCTTCTGTTCCTCTTGTGTCAAGAACGTAAACCAACTGTAGGCAACGGTGATAACGATAACAAATATTGAAAGGTAGGGATAACAGTGGCCAAGACGCGTAAGTCGTCGAATGCTTGGAACACGAGTACGGAAGTATCCGACGTCAGAATCATCGCTTGGATCATTCTTGGGTACCACCAAATTTGTGTTCTGCACGCATGCAGAAATCTATTATGGATGTGTGTATTCGATAACAGCTATAATATCATGCTAACGAGGGCAACACGACTGTATCAAGTCCGAGAATGAAGGGGGAATGGGACTAATGCTCCAATGCAATTGTTCGAGTGTTCGAGATAGAAAGTTGACGACCCATAACTAGCTCAGGCTACGAATGAACACCCAATGTAGCCGGCCTATCTCATGATTGATGCTCTCAGAAGACGAGGGCGGCAACCAGGCCCACCAGGCTAACGGAGAAGGCGCCGACCTGGAGGCTAGAGGCACCCGAGTTGGTGCCCGACGGAGAGGTGGTGGCAGCATGCGAGGTGGTAGTGCCTGATCCAGACGATGAGTGGCTCGTAGGGCTGGAGCTGGAAGCAGGGGAGCTAGAAGAGCTCGACGGTCCAGCTGCGGCAGGACTGGATGAAGAGCCGGCGCCGGCGGTGCTGCTCGATGAAGTCCCAGCACTGGTACTGTTGACTGATTAGCATCATGTCACAAACTCTGAACGAGTTTACTCACGCAGAGCCGGCAGGGACGGAGGACGTCTGGCCAACGCAGCTGGAATCGGTGCCGGTTTGGATAGTAATCTACTTGAACTATCAGCCATGCATCTCCAACACCAGTCCAAAGACACAAACCGGTGAAGAATACTGGGTAGTGCCTGTGCTGTCGCGAACCTGGATTGTGCTGTCACGAATCGTCAACTAGCGATCGCAGTCTTTTAGGTCAACCAAACGAACATGGAAGTGCCCGCCGCAATGTTCACGTTCCACACATATGAGTTGCCGGTCTGAGTGGGGAAGCTCTCAAGCTGTCAAAAAACCAGTTCAGTCGATTTTTTCACGTCAAAATGGTGTCGGCTCACAGCAGGGGCACCGGGCTGCCCACCAGGAATGATGGAGGGGAAGTAAGGCGCAGTACCGCCAGACCAGGAGAGCGCGGCGGGTTCTGCAAAGGCGCATATATTAGACACGTTCTCGCTGCACATCGGGGTGAAACGTACGGCAGACAACGACGGAGGCAGGGGTAGCGACGGTGAGCTGCGCGAGGGCAGCAGGGAGGAGAGTAAGGAGAGCAAGTGCCGCAGCGAACATATTGACAAGGGAATACAAAGTTGGGGGGTGGATGTATGCGTGGAAGGGAGATAAGGAAACGGCGCAGAAGATGGGGGTGGAAAACCAAGAGAGAACCCAGCTCCACAAAATGATGGAGGCCTTTTATTGGGCGGTGACGGGACCAAAAGGAGCCGGAAGACACGGTCTTCCTTGTACGTCTCACATTATGACGAACGATGCCCCATCCTGTGCCGTTGTCCAAGCAAAAATACTCACATCGGGACCAAGACTGCTGTCACCCTGGTACTAGTGGTGACGAATTAGCAACGAACTACAACCGGTAAACAATCTTCCGTGGGACTTTTCCCCAGACGCATACCGCGGATGCACGAGGCACACTGGTGGGACAAGAAGCGTGTCGTTTCACATATAAAAGCCTCGTCCGCGCGTTTTCCCGCTATTTTCACGCGTAATATGAGCGCATCATTGTCGACGATTACAAGACGCATGACATGGGCTGCAGGATAAAATAAAGACGACTGAAAATGTTCACAAGGGGGCCAACACCAGGTCGCAACCACGGAAGAAACAGGACCCCAAGCATGTGGCGCCAGGAAGGTTGGAACGAGCGTCATCGAAGACACGTCAGCGAAACTGGTCTGTCCCGCTGACAGCTCGTCTGGAACCCAATCCCTGCCATTACGCAATGTTGATGTCGTGTAGTATGAACTCGAAGGATTGATCATGCTAGTGTTTGATCAAATGGATGGAAGCAACATCGATTTATTGAGAGAACGTGACAGTTGTCACTACCTATGAATGACAACAAAATGAAAAACCAGACGATGTGATCGCTTATGGCACAATAGGAGTATAAAACATGAATATTACAAGAAACCACCAATCATTTTGTATCACCAACTGATACGTGCGTGAAACTCATGGACAATGTCCTTGTGTAGGTCTACGATGGGTGGTGTCCTTAAAGCAGGGCAGCACCAATCAAACCAGCGACACCCACGAAAGCGTAGCCAGCGGCCGTGAGGCCGGAGGCACCGCTGTGGGTAGGGGAAGTAGAAGGCGACGTGGCAGGGGTAGAGCTGCTGGATGTTGTAGTTGCACCGGAGGAAGCAGAGGTACTACCCCCAGAAGCAGGGGACTGAGTGGGGGAGCCTCCAGCGGCAGGAGAACTACGAACGCGAGATCAGTACTTAATTGACTAGCGTAATTAGTATGACTTACCTGCCAGCGGTGGAATTGCTGCCCACGCAAGACTGGTCGGGACCAGCCTGAACGGTAACAGGTGACGAGTAGTTGATGACTCCGGCGGAATCACGAATCTGGATGGTACTACATAGGACATTAGTTCAGCACCCTTTTTGGCACCAGGAGTACATGCATGGATGTGCCGCCCGCGATATTGACCTTGGGCCACGTATAACTAGAGCCGTTTTGAGTGGGGAAGCTTTCCAACTAGAGACAACTCCATCAGACATGATCTTGAGTAACCCTAAGGACACACAGCTGCAGCACTAGTCTGTCCACCGGGAAGGACAGACAGGAAGTATGGAGGTGTTCCACCGCTAAAGCTGATGAGAGCAGGCTCTGTGGAGCGCCGAGTGATCGATCAGTGATCGAACTCAAGATGGGGGACATATCACACTCACGGCAAGTGACCAGTTGAGCTGGTGTCTGCACGGTAAGGTTGCCAGCGGCTTGCGCGAGCGCAGCCACGGCCAATACAACGAGAGCTAGGACGGACTTCATCGTCTTAGAAGATGCAACGTGGATAGTGTGAAGGAGAAGAGAGGCAGTAGAGACGGCGTTCTCGAGGCTTTTACAGCGAGGGGAACGGGACGGTCCGTGGAATGTCGGGCGGAGAGGGGGAGGGCGGACCAACGAGTCTTATCAACCCGAACCGTTGAATTGCTTCCCTGCCCGGGCATGCTCAGCACATGCTGCGCACAGCTGGCCCCCGGTCATCAATTCACACCCTTCAAAACACCAGAATTTGGAACACTTCGTGTCTATCCAACAAAGAAAAAAATCTGATAGTTGTTGTTACTCTGGTGTTAGAGCAGTTCTATGTTGCAAAGAATATTTTTAGATGTACCCTTCAACGTCCCATACCTGTCTGCGACAGCAGCTTAATTCAGATAATCGGGGATCCCATGACGCAAGCTGTGCGATGGCTACCCTCTGCGTGCCGAGCCATGCCGAAAGATCATGAGAACGGCGTACCTTTTACCTTTTTGGGATATCCCGCGGCTGAGAGTTAAACATAGATCATCACGCAGTGCGCCACCACCGGGGTCGGGTGTTCGTCTACAATGCAATGGTAAGCAAGTCATTGTCATGTGATGAAGATGGAGGGGAAGGTGTAAAGAGTGTATTCAGTCAAAATATATAGCCTTTGTCCTTCTGAGAAGGGCGGGCATGAAAGCCGGACTCCGATCACGCCTGACGCGACGATGTTCGCCCGAAAGGTCTCCTGGCCCCGGCAAGCTGTCATCATGAAAAAGTAAAGAGGAATAAATAACGGAGCGCGTTGTACACTCACACTTGGCGGTGGTCCGGTAAATGCGCTAGAGAAGATCCCCTCATCAATCTGGGGATTACAAGATAAGCGTCAGCCAAGACGGGCAGGGGCGAAACCGCCACGGTCGGTGTTTCTCTGCAAATTGCCTCATCGGTATGCAATCATCACCAGGAATTCATAAAGTCAGTGATGGTGCCGGGGCTTCGGAGCTCAGGAATGATGCGAACAACAGATCGTCCACGAGTGGTCAGACCTCGCGCACCGAAGGAAGAGAAAGAAGGCAGCGTGTCTTTCGATGTGTTTAGGGGTAGGCCCCCGCACGTGTTCGGGTGCATGGACCATCCCGTTCCGGGGTCCCAGGTCGATGGCGAGTGGGGACTTCCGCCACGCGCTGGTGGACCGCTGTCCCACCTCCTGTTGACGTCCCTTCAGTAACACGACCATCAACAACTTATCGCACAATGTCTCCTGTACCTGTTTTCATTTTGTTATTTGTTTCTCCAATATGCTAATTCTCATTCAGGTTTTGGAACCCGTTCCTGCTCCTCTGACGAAAGAGCCCAAACCGGAACTTCCGGCTGGGATGCTAAATCCGAACCTTGCTTCATGTGCGTATCTACGCGCCTGACCAATGACATCCGTCTGATTCACCCCCGTGGTTTGTCCATACAGTGACGGGTGACAATGTTCCTCAAGTTAAGTTCCAGGTGATAACCCGGGAAGGGCAGGAGATTATCGTCGGAAGGGTCAAGATCTCACATGTGTGCCGCAGTCCGATCATTCCCGGAGCTCGGCTGATATTGTTATACAGCCCAATGGTCACGCATTCATCCTCCGGAGGTTTGATACCGGTGCCATCTCGCTTACTACCATGATTCGTGCGGCGTTCCCAGCGGCAACGGATGACATGGAGAAGGGCGTCACGAACTGGGTCCGGACCAATTATCATATCCAAGGTGCAAACGGACCGACGGCGGCGGGGACAAGGAACTTGCGCCTGGCCGGAACATGGATTCCTGCAAACCTGGCCATACACCTTGCGGACGACTATGGCTTAGCTGAGATTGTTCGGCCGCTCGTGTCTGCTGTGCCTGACCCGTCGGTCTCGTACCGCAAGAGCGCCCGTAGTCAAAATGCAAGCCCGACTGCTGCACCTCCAACCGCTACGGCCCCAGCCCCTCCATCTGTCCCTGAACCTGCCGATGTTCCTCAAACGACCACTCCCGGCCCGACAACCCGTGCTTCTACTCGCCAAACTGCCTCCCAGGCTGTAGCCACGCCAACACATCCAAACAAGCGCCAGCGCACAACTGGACCCGCCCCTTCCGCACCTGCAAATGGACTTACCCCTGCTTCTGCTCACCAGCGAACCAGTCGCACCATTCCCATATCTCCTCTGGCGAATGTTCCAATAACGGTCGAGGAAGACATGCGTCACGAGGAACCCTCTTCCGACAGTCTGTTCCCTACACCCGAAGAGGATCGCGCAGAGGCACAGAATCTTATATCGGAGTTGTCTAAACAAGCTCCGAACTATACTCCAGCCTTGCTCAAAGAGTCTACTGGCCGCAAACGGGCTCTGTCCCAAGTCGAACCAGACATGCCGACGGGATTCACTCCTGCTGAACAACCCTGGGAGTCTGGGACAGAAGTTCAGCGTGTCATTGCCCGCAATCGGCGTGCCGAGATCGCTAACGCTCGCGGATTGGGCAAAATTACGGCCGCCATCCCTCGACCAGCGACAGCAACGGGTCGCCAGATCATGTGGGGTAGCCTCATGTTCACCTTTGGGGTCGCCGCTACTGCTTTGTTCGTCATTTCCTTCATATGAAACCGTGTCATACCTAACTAGCTCCGTAGTTCCGCCGGCATTCCTCAATTGTTTTTCTAGGTTTGGTGTATGGCTTGAACGCCATGATGCTCGACGGGCGTTTGAGCTAAGGCTCGTTTACCCTCCTCTTCGGTGTTTACCCCCGGATACCTGCAACATGCCGGTCAAGTCGAGGGTGAATACTGTTGAGGTGAGCATGTGATTCATCTATCAAAGTTCCATTTCGTCTTCGCTCTATTGGAGTAATTTGTGATGCCTTCGTTATCCGATTTAATCGTTGCTTCCCTCGGCGGATCTTGCTGCAGGGCGCTGCCATTCTTTTTCTTTCTTTTTATTTCCTCTGCACTTCCTTTCGTGCTGTACCCTTGTATTATTTCCATTACCTGGGACTTCTCCAGGCCGGCCAATGACCCACTTGGGCGGCTGTAATACTGATTTCCATCCTCGAATACAGTCTCAGACTCATCCACCCGTTCATTCCTTAACTTTCATTTCCTTTTATCCCCTGCCCTGGCAGATGCCAGTCCTTCATCCCTTCACAGTAGCATGGTCGCTGCGGCATGTTGTTTTGTTCGCTTGGCCCAGCCTCTGCGCTGCTGTTTTATTTTGCGCTTCCGTGAGCTCCGCCTAAGGCCCATTAGTGGCAACCAGCGTCTCCGATCTTCCACCTACAGCCCCTCCGCCAATGTCCCGTGCTCTCGTCCGTACTGCTTTTGCTACATGCAAACGGCCTAACGTCTTCCCCGTACACTCAGTATCCGTACATATCTGAAACGTGTCTCTTGGCTTGAACCGGATTGAAATGAGATATATTTTACGGTTGTGGATTCACTTTACATGTGTGTGTTCCCTGCATAATCCTCGCTGCCTTGTTCATCAACCGAAGCGAATCACGACTTCTTGTCTTCTTTGCTCGGCCAGGTCGCGAACACATCCTTGAGCTTATCGACCGGTGCCAACAGGAGTGCCTCGACAGTTTCGAAGGGCGGCGCCTGATGGGTTCCCGGATGTGCACGAGTAGGGACGAACATCTTTGTCCTCTCGAGCGACTGCGTCAATCGCTCGTTCTCTTCCTTCGAGAGCACTCGCTCAAGCTTATCGATAGTCGCTTCCTCTCTATTGGTAAGAAAGGACATCATCAGTAGGCATCTTACGCCAAATGAAGCGAGACCCACTCAATAACATGCACCGCGAGATCCCTCTGCAGCGTCCCAAACACCTCCGCATACGCCGCATCCTCCGTCTCCAACTTCTCCAACCGGTACTGCAGTTCCTTGTGCTGCTGATGCTCCTCCCTCTCCTTATCGCTAACCTCCTTCCCTAGTGCCCCTAGGTATCGCTCAAAGGCAGGATAGAGCACCAGCTCTTCTGCAACGGTGTGCCGCGCGAGCTCCCAGGCGTACTGGTTGGCCCATTTCTTCTTGTCAGAAGGCGGGGAGCGCGTGTACTTCTCGTAATACTCCGCTAGCTCGGCGTGGTCGTCCACTATCGCTTCTTTGATTGTCGAGTCACCCATTCTGAGCGCACTGAAAGACAGGTTTCTCGAGCTCGGTGCGTGGTGTGATACCAGGGGTAGAGCAAGTGGGCGCAGATAATAAGTATACAGACAGCGCATGACTATAGCTCTTTCTTCCAGTGCACTTAGTTATATAGCGTTCAAGAGAGAAGGAGCATGTCATGTCTAGGGGGTTTTATGTTGATAGCCATCTTAATGACGTGCGTGTGACAAGAATACGCTCCAAGCAGAAGAGGCGTATTACTACGAGAAAGTGGCCTCCATTACACCGTTTGCGTCAGTTCGGCGTTCCGTGGTCGAGGAACAACTCACTAAGTAACTCAAAGAAGCGACGTCATATCGCGTGACTTCCCCTAGCTCGTGAGAGTAGGGTTCTTACCCGGGTCGACTCGGGATCAAAATGCTGACAGTAGAAATAGTATGGTAACTCCATGGAAACATGTTAATTTCCTCATTTGTATTCAGATTCCGTGTCCTCGGCATAAGAGCTAGGGTTTTGCCGGCACTCAGCACGGCCCCTTTCCTAGTGAAGGGGTGTCAACTCCTGACCAATCACAGGCGCCGCACGAGGTACAAGCCTGGAACCCCAGTCACAACCCTCATTCATGCGTGCTCTCATCCTCGTCCTCTGATTCCTTGTATCCCAGCATGTCCGATACTGCGGAGCCTACAGACACCAACGGTGAATTCGTTGTCGTCGACCCTGCTGATGCGGTCCCAAGTGCACCGAATGGCGATCAACCTACAACCGAACCTCAAGATGTCCAACCTCTCCCGGTCCCTGCTGTGAATGGTGCTCCCGCGACAGGGACGGGGCACCGAGCGGTCATCCAATTGCCGGCGCATGATCATGAAGAGGACGTGAGCGACGAGGAGGACGAAGTGCATGAAGGAACTGAACAGGACTTTCTGGCCGATTATCCTAGCGATACCGAGGTTCGTGCCTGTTCTCATTCCACAGATTCAGCTCTGACTAATTGTGACCCAGGATGTGGAAGTGATCCACTCTCGCCTCACCTCGACAACACCACTCCGCCTTCCCAGGTTCAAGCAGCTCAACCGCCTCTGCCTTCGGCAAAACGTGATCTCCACACTGCCGGAGAGCGATTTTGGCACGCTGACGAATCTCGAAGAACTGGATCTGTACGATAACAAGATGAAGGAACTTGGAGAGGGGCTGAGTCATTGCACGAAATTAGAGTGAGTCTTCTATCATTCCTTCTATGAGATAGATGTTGATAGATGCGTGGCAGGATTCTCGACCTCTCGTTCAACCTCCTTCGTACTATCCCCACCTGCCTCACTCCTTTCTGCTGCCTCAAAACTCTCTACTTCGTACAAAACAAGATTACTAAGATCGCGAATCTTGACTGTGTCGGACGAAGCTTGAAGAGCCTTGAACTCGGCGGCAACAGGATACGGACAATTGAGCACTTAGATGCGCTAGAGCAATTGGAGGAACTGTGGTTGGGGAAGAATAAGATCACGCATCTCCAGGTACGAGTCTGTCTCTCCACTAAATCTGCAAGGAGATGCGATGATATTATGACAGAACCTCGACAAGCTCCAGAATCTCAGGATCCTCTCAATACAGTCAAATAGGATAACCAAGCTCGAAGGGTTGGAGAAGCTAGATAACCTCGAAGAGTTCTACATTAGCCACAACGGCATAGAACAACTAGAGGGGCTTGACAATAACGTCTGTCTTCCCTTGCTCTTTCTACCAACCTATTGCTCACTTTTTGCAGACCAAGCTCCGGGTCCTAGACATCGGCAATAACCGTATCAGCAAGATTGAAAACATATCTCACCTCTCAAAATTGGAAGAATTTTGGACAAGTGATAACCAGATTCCCACATTGGAGGATCTCGAACCGCAGCTCGCGCATATATCAACCTTGGAAACAGTGTACTTGGAGGGAAACCCGTGCCAGAAAGCAGAGGGAACGGTATATAGGAGAAAGGTCATCCTTGCCCTGCCGCAGTTGCAGCAGCTGGATGCTACGTACGTCCCTTCCTCTTTATTCTATTCAAATGTCTCGACCGACACATCGCACCAGATTTGTTCACACGGTATAACGGTATGTACTATTTGGGCGAACTCGCCGCTTCTCTCCTCGTCTACCGATATCCTGTCAATGTACGATACGCATCCCCTCAATTGAACGCTGTGCCCTCATTATCTCTTACTCCTGTGTCTTCTTCAGGTCTTCCTTGAATAGGTTTACAGCCCTCTCCAGCTGCTGGTGGATATCCACTCCCCAAACCCATTGCATCGGCTCGTCCAGCGCCTCCACGATCCGCGCTTCGTCGTCCTCCGACATCGGAAGCGCCAGCTCATACACCAGTCCCTTATTATACGCCCTGTCCTGCCATTCCTGTGCCCTCGGACGGCGAACGAGATCGTACGCCTTCAAAGCCAGTTCGACCGTGGACTTGGTGGTACGGGGATGGGAGAGAAGCGTAGCTAGCATATGCACGTCCTCTATGCCTTGCGAGGCGCCGTTTCCCCCATGTGGTCTACGTCTGCCTTTCTATCAATCGCCAACCCAATAAGAGGATCACCCACGTTGAAGCATGCGCCGCATCCCCTATCAAAGCCACAACTCCATGCACAAACCTTCCAATCCTAGGCACCTCGAAGATTCCCCATCGCCGAACTTCACTCACCCCAGCCAGCATGTCCTTCACTGCGGGAGCGAAGTCGGCAAAGTCCTGCAGAACCTCGGAGGCTGAGCTGGGCTGGATCCAGCTCGTGTACGGGTAGGGAGGGGAACGCTGCTCGAAGGAAGAGACGAAGCACACCAGGTTGGTGACCGTGTTTTGCGCAATGGGAAATTGGACGATGTGCTGTTCTCGACTGTCAGTACTTCTGCCAAACAATCCTACAGAGACAACCCCAACCTTGTTTTTTCCGAGATACTGGATCATCTGGCTGAGCACAATACGTGATTGCAAAAACAAAAAGGCTCACGAAAGTTGGCTTCCTGCCTGTCTCTCCAAGTTTGGCGACCACCTCTTCAATCGGCAGCAACGCACGATAGGCTACACTCCCAGACCATGTTGGTTTGGCCTCGTCGGGATTGTCAGCGTACATGACATTCCGAACCCTGCTCCATCTCAGTCAACACTATCAGAACACTTTTAGAAGGTGCGAACGTCGACTTGATTCCGTCCGCCCCGACAAGTACATCCGCCTCGAATGTCGTTCCATCGCGGAAATGCAGCCTCACACCACCCTCAGGAAGCTGATCATATGTGGTGAGATGCTTGCGAAGGCAGACGTTCTCTTTCGGTAACTTGGAAATAAGGAGGTTTAACAGATCGGCCCGATGTAGCTTGGCACTCTTCCCTGGAGATCGAAGCTGGAATACATCTTCGAATTCAGTACGATAGACGCAATGGATCGAGTTGGATAACATACGGCACAGAAGGGCATCAGCCCGTTTCTGCCGTCTCCGTAAGTCACCTCGAACCAAGGGATGGATGCATCCCGAAGGGAATCGCCGGCCAGTTCGTACACCTCGTCCGAGATGCGCATCTCTTTGTACACCTGGATGGCATTCCAAGCTAGGCGGCCTGTGAGAACACAAGTACTCCATCGTTTTGGATGGACTTGCCTATATCGATACCAGCACCGATTTCGGTAAATGCTGATGCGCCTTCGAACAAGTGCACTTCGCATCTCGCGAGCTGTACGAGATAGACGGCGAGAGAAAGCCCCACACTTCCACCACCTACCACGGCCACCCTCAGCTTAGGACGGTTGTCTACCATGAATGTGGTCAACGGGACGGCTCATCGTTCCCGGCAAACAGCTCGTTCAAATGGGAATCAAACACTCGCCGGAACTGCTGTCCTGCCAGCAAGGCGTTCACGAGGCCAGCAGCAGTTTTGATATGGAGAGCTGTGTGCACGGTAAATAATACCACAAGGGCCCTTTCCTGAAACACCGGAGGATCAAATACTATATATTTGCACACGAAGCACGTCCTTGCAACTTTTGGAAACCAGTCAGAATAGGAGACACATTACTTTATTCGGTCATAACGAATTCTTGGAGATTCTGCAGACTTTCTTCGAACATCCGAACAGCTCTGTTTTTCTGCTCGTCGATATCAATATTCCATATCCAGTCCATCATTGTCTCAAAAGCTTCTCCGATCTTGACTTCATCTTCGTCAGCATCCGAGACGCATTCGTAGAGTCGGCCGGCCTCGTAACTTGTCTCTTGCAGTCTCTGGGATCGGGGACGCCGAACAGCATCGTATGCCTTCAACGCCAGTGGAACTGTGGCCCTGGTGCATAGGGGGTGTGAGAGTAGGTGCCCAAGGACGTGGGCGTCTTCGATTCCCTGGGAAGCGCCATTACCTTGATGCGGCCTGCCTCTGAAGAGTCAATCCCGCAATCCTGAGAAGAACGGCTTTCTCACGTCGCTGCATGCGCTGCATCTCCCACAAGCGCGGTATTGCCAGATACATACGACGGAAGCGGGGGCAATTCAAATATTGCCCACTTGAGTGGCTTTGTGACATTCTTCAGCATGGTCTGCAGCGATGGACTGAAGTCTTTGAACTCCTCTAGCAGCTCAGTTGTTTCCCCTTCTTCCACTTGACGCAGCGCAATCAGACATGAAGTCAACCTTTCAAGAGTCTGCGTCTTACCCCAATTCATGCCCTTCCAGTCTGGATATCTCCCGTGGTCATAGTCGGTCACGAATGCACCTAGACTGACTGCTTTCCCTCGTGAAACTGGGTACTGGATTATGTGCTGGAACGCATTCATTCACGATCATCGGTGATGAGAAGAGTTCATCACTCACTCGAGCTCTCCCCATCCACTACAATTCTCAGCTGGATCAGTGACACGGTCCTCCGGGTTGATGTATACACTCACGAGGTTCGGTCTGCATGCTGAAAATTCGCCAATACTCGAAGCAACAATCTCAAGGGGAAGAAGACAACGATATACGACCCCGCCTGACCACACAGGCTCCACAGCCTTGGCCTTTCCCCCGTACATACATTGTCGCACGCTGGAGATCTCAGATACTGCTCCAAGTCTCCGGTAGCTGACAATACACACCGAGACTTTATTCCATCCGCTCCGATTAGTACATCCGCCTCGGCTGTTGTACCATCAGTAAAATCTAAGGTGACTACACCTCCCTCAGTTCGCTCGAAGTTCTCGAGGCGTTTTCCGAGCTGAATCATATTGCTCGGTATACTGGAAACCAGCAAGTCCAATGCATCGGCTCGGTGCAGCTTTGTATTGGCGACTGGGACGCTGCGCTACGAACGCCCGTAAGTGGTATTCCGTCACGGAAGGTACATAACAGACCTACTGTGTATATTGGATTCGTGTGATTCCGCCCGTCTCCGAACCACACATCGAACCAGACATTGCTACTATCACCCGACGCGGTGCGGGCCATGTCATATACCCTGCTTGCGAGTCCTAGTTCATTGTATGCTTTCATGCCATTGTGACCTGGAAAGCGCCTTTATTAGCCGCACCTGTCCAAGTATATGTGCATACTGATCTCGATACCGGCGCCGATCGTGCCAAAGGCCGGTGCCGCTTCGTAGACCACAGCATTGCATATCTCCAGTTGATGTAAATATAAAGCGAGCGAGAGGCCCACAGTGCCCCCTCCAACGATTGCAACCCTCAAAGAGCCTTTGTTTTCCACCATCGACCTCGGGGTATAACGGTACGGACCCATGGTTGACAATCACGCCAGCGAATACCAGTTGGCGCACAGTACAAAAATGGACAGCAACCGCGTCGGATAGAGCGTGAAATCTGAGAGGAGTCTTCCAGGGAAGGCTTATCTAACCAAACTCCGCTTTATTCACTTATTCATTGGTCCTCTTGACAACGCCCTCTGAGAAGCCCTCAGGTACATACCCATCACGTCAAGTGTCTAAGGATTCTGAAGCGATTCCTCCAGCATCTGTATCGCTTTGTCACGCTGACCCTCCACGTCGAACTTCCAGATCCAATCCATCCGACTGCTCAAAATTTCGACGAGCTTCTCTTCATGGTGTCCAACGGCGGAGACGCCTTCATAGAGTTGAACTGCTTCGTAAGAAGTGTTTTGCATACGCTGTGCACGTGGGCGCCGGATTTGGTCATATACTCGGAGGGCAAGCGGAACGGTTTCACGGGTCGTCTTTGGATGGCAGAGTAGGTTTGCTAAGACATGTGCGTCTTCTATTCCTTGTGAGGCGCCATTGCCCTGATGGGGTCTGCAAAGGACACTGGTAAATAGAACACGGACAAGCGATTTTGAGAGGCTCACGTTGATGCATGAGCGGCATCCCCGATCAACGCCACACGACCATTCACGAAGGTGGGGATATTTCCTAGTTCGAATATAGCCCATTTCACCGGCTTTTCAATATTCTGCCGGCATTCAGTTTATGAGTAGCTCATATCGACGAAACTGACAAACTTTGAGCATTTCCTTAACAGGCTCTATCCAATCCTTATAGTCTTCCAACATTTCACTCTGATCTCTGCATTCCTGGACTGAAGTATGAGGCAGTCAGGTCGGATCTTCGAAGAAATACAAGCGAGCTACTCCATTGTGGGGCATTCCACTCGGGATGTCTTCCATCCTCGAAGTCTGAGACAAAGGCAACGATATTGACTGTTTGCCCTTGCGAGACCGGAAACTGGACGATATGCTATCACATGTAATAAGATATCGTTCTATGACACATCTGGAGCGAATTACCCGGCTCTTGCCCAACCACTGTTTCTTTCGCGTTAATAAGGGAAAAGAGTGCAGGAGAATACGTACCAAAGTCGAGGTTCTCGCGGTATGATCCCCGAAATGAGGAATGACATTCTCTACCGGGATCAGGCCACGATATGCAATGGTTCCAGACCATTGAGGTTCGACGTTGACCGCGTCTTGCCCGTACATGACGCGACGAGTGCTTCGTATAAACCATCAACATATATATGAAAAGACGAAACACCAGCTTCTTACCCTGATTTGATACCGTCAGCGGCGACAAGCACGTCCGCTTCAAAGTCGGTGCCATCTTTAAAGAATAACTTCACGCCGCCTTCAGAAGGCTGGACATAATTGTCTAGGTGCTTGTTGAAGTAGACATTTTCTCTGGGCAGGCGTGACACGAGCAGATCGAGCAGATCAGCTCGACGCAGCGATGCTTGTCCACCGGCCGCGGGGGATCGAACCTATACAATGTGTTAGGCATGCACTAAACCCCACATAGCGACATCATACGGTGCAAATCGGGTTCAGGCCATTCCTACCATCGCCAAAAATCACATCAAACCAGCAGTCAGATTCGTGTCCGGCCAGATCGCGCGAGTGTTTTTTCACTTCAGACGCTATTCCCATCTCGTCGTAGATTCGCATAGCGTTGAAACCTGTTATAGGTTAGGTTGGGGAAGGGGAGAGAGCTTGACAGATGAGATACCCACCAATGCCAATTCCTGCTCCGATTTCTTTGAATGCTTGGGCAGATTCAAAGACGTGCAAGTCGCATTTTCCAAGTTGAGAAAGATAGACAGCAAAAGACAAGCCCACAATACCACCGCCAACAACGGCGACCTTGAGCTTAGTACCAGGTTCAGACATAGGAAGGTGCAGTATGAGGATGATAAGTCAATCAGCGTGTTGTGACCTTGTCACCTCAGGCTTGGCGCCGTTAAGTACTGTTTTCGTCATCCCCTCGCACAGCGAATAAGTGCTGAAAGGAAGATACTGATGAATCGTTGATAGAGGACATCTGACACTTCCCTTTGGGTGAAAGTTGACAATCGACGCGAGGGATGCGTGACGCGATGTTCACCTGCTCGGCGGATAAATGGTTCACCTAACTGTGCCAGCAAAAAAAAGTCTATTTCGAGGTTGCGCGATACAATCCCGGCAGGATGAAAAAGCGAACCGCTCAGTAAGAGGGCAGGCGATCTCTTTGTAATGTAACTATCTTCCTATGCTATTGTAATTGTGCTTTGCAAGCAACTTGAAGTCCAGGATCCACTTTGTTTCATCATCTTCGGTTCAATGCCCGTCCGCGCGCGCTTCCAGAGCTGCGATCAAACAGTCTCAGGGACAAATATGACAGATAGGTTATTGCCTAGCGTATCGATACAGCAATGGGGCAGACACATTACACTCCAGGGAGATTAGATAGAATATGCATGGGGCACCAGAGAGCGGTGTATGCGATGAACTTATGGCTACAGTAATGTTCAACTATGAGTGAACTTTATGAGAATCCGAGATTGGCAAAGACTTCGTCCAAAGACTTTAGAGAAACTGGCTTAACCAGGCTGCACATATAATCAGGTTACCTCTAACAAACGAGACAAACAAATACTCACTACCCATCTACACCTGCGTTAAAGGCCCGCCGCTTGTCTTCGGCGGTGGCTAGACCAGTCAATGCAAATATTGTACTGGCTTTCTCATGTCCCTCAGTTGATGATCTGCGTCGCTCAGATTCACTTTTTCGGATCTCAGCGGTTGTTTCTACGCCGTCTAGCCGTGGCATGCTCATATCGACGAGAAGAACGCTGCACAAGAGTGAGCCACATGACCATACAAATAGGAGAAGTCTACGCACTCGAAAAACCATGGGGGCTGCGCATTGAAGCGGTCAACGCCATCCTGTCCATCCACTGCTTCGAAATACTGATGGCCCTAAGTAATATTCAGATACCAGACAATGCGAGCTAATGCTGTGGACTCACTCGCTTTGATAGGTAACTCCCAAGGAGGCGTCGGTTGATAGGGTTGTCTTCAACCACTAGCACGCGAGCTTTTCGAGCGGCGGAGGAAGACGCCACAGCAGATCTCACCATGACTCCCCCGTTTCCTATCGAGACCATCGATTGTGGACTTCCAGGCGAATCTACAGTAGGTGACTCCTGTCTCAACTCTGGGGTAGTCGGCAGATACTTTTCCTCGTTGGAGAGGGAGGATTCAGGTCGTAATGGTGGTGGCATTGGTCGACCCTCGACTCGCAAGTCGCCGGAGTCGGTCCTGCTCCGCGTAAAAGACGGCCTTCCAGCCTGACCAGTCGCTCGTATCCTCAACGACGACATGCCACCCAGGACAGAAGCAAAATCACGTGCTTCGACCGGCAAACTGTCAACGCTTTGGATAAGGTTTTCGGATGTCGACCGCGGAACTTGACCACGTCTACGGACATCAAGGTCGTTGAGGCACAGTTTGAGCGCTTTTAGTAGCCGAGTCGGTCCTCCAGGCTTGAAGACTACGGCGATAAGACCACCCATGCGCTCGTAGGCGTCACACACGGCTGAAATTAGGGTAAGTCGCTAGACAACAACCGCACGGAGATCACATACCAGAAACTTTCTGATCACCTCGAATGGCGCTCAACATAATCACAGGACGAGAAACGTCTCTCTGGCGGATAAGCTCTCTGATGAAGACAAGGTCCTCGTTGACAATGAGGATATTGCCGAGGGTGTCAGGGTCCGTCTTGACGTCAAAGTCCCACCAATCCCGTAGGTACGTCTTGATCACATCACAGACCAAAGCCTGCCCTCGGTGCTCCTGATCGAACCCTATCAAGGAGACAGAAGCAGAGCCTAGGATGTCCAGCTCAGCGGCAGGATTGTCGACAGAACGAGAGTCGTCTGCCGGAAGGACTTCAGCATCGAACGAGACTTTGATCTCGGTGCCTTGACCCTCTACGCTCCATACGTCGACTTTTCCATTCACGCTCTCTGAGCGTACGATACTGTTAACGATGGCGAGCCCGAGGCCTGTGCCGGATTGCATAGGGTTCTCCTGGGAGAACGGATGGAAGAGTTGGTTCTGCAGGACGTGAGCCACCGAATGAAAGCGCACAAGGAAGATCGTACCTTCAAGAAATCCTTGCTGATTCCCTTACCAGTATCAGCCACAGTAAGCTCAACGCGGATCATGCCCGGCCCCGCAGGTTCCTGAGATTCCCTCAAGGACACCTGGACGAATCCGTCCGAGGTAAACTTGAGACTATTCCCAATAAGGTTCGTCAACACCCTGCGTATCCCGCCCCGTTCGATCAGCACGTTCCAGCCTTTCCTTCTCAAGCCGATATCGACGACCGTCTCCACTCGAGCCCATTTACGCTTCGTGATCGCCGCCTCGTTCGAGTCGTCCTCCGCGAGAGAGGAGGGAGCGTAGACACTACCAATTTCGCCCATGGCGCGCGCTTGTTGGCCGATAAAGCAGTTCTCAGCCGTCTCCTCGATAAGGGTAATAAGGTCCATATGTCCGTGCCGGATCGGTTGTTCGGGCTGCGCGTGCCCAGCTTTCGACCCACTCAGCTTTGTAAAGTCCAGGACGTGGTTGACCGTCTCGACAAGGCTGGTTGCGCACGCCTGGACAGTATGCAAGAACGAAGACTGCGTCCCGCTCAAGCGGGTATCGCCCAGTAGCTCCGCGGCAGCAAGGATCCCATGCAAGGGCGTGCGAAGTTCATGCGAGATGTTGGAGATAAAATGCGACTTTGCCTTGTCGGCGAGCTGCATGCGCCGCTTTAGCATCGAGCTGAGGATGATGACTCCTATTGCACGAAGATACTGCAGTTCATACCCTTCGAGGTAGTGTTTTGACACATCTGTAGTGTACGCAAGGAGGAGGACAAAACAGTTCTTGTCGATGCTCCAGACCGGCACGACTAGACTCTATCAGAGAACGACTCACACGAAATGACCAGAGGGCAACTCACTCATAGCATACTGGATATTCCCTGGTAACAAATGCCGAAAACAGAGTGGCACCAGACCCTCATATATCTTCCCATCAGGATACGACACCAAAAAGTCCGACAGCTTCCCATGTTCCGTCGCAGTAAGCGGCCTCCCGCGCTGTGAGGGGGGTGGGTCGATCGCACACTCCGCCGAGCCTAGGACTGGGAGAGGTGGGATAGGCCCAAACTCGTATTTCCTGTGCAGGAGAGGTGCGAGTCCGTTCGCCCCTGCGTGGGGTTGTGCCTGCCCGGGCGGGTTAGGGGAAGAGGAGGAAGCGGAGTTCGAGGTGCTTGTAGGGCCATACGGATCCCCGTGGTACAGGATAGTCGGCTTGCCAGTATCGTCCATGATTTCCATGAGCTCTAGATGGGAGATATCCAGTACAAGCGCGCCCTCGACGTCCAGCGTCCGCTTGACAAGTCTCGCCGCCCGTTCATATACCCTGTTCATCGAGTCCGGCTCGTTCGTGTCCATCTCAAGGCACTCCCGCGTAAAGTGCTCCATAGACGTCTGGATACGATCCCGGATCCGGAGCTGGATCTTGTCCCGCCAGAGCTCGAGTTCCCGCATGACGATAGCAGCGAACTCTTTGAGCGTGTGCCTCTGACGAGGGGTGAACTCGTTCCACGCGATATCGTCGATAACGCACAGGCTAACCAGCAGAGTGGTCGATTAGCGTCATCGTCATCTCAAGCCGAGTACACACCACCTACCTGCCGATATTGAACCCCTCATGCGTGCGTAACGGCGCCCCGGCATAGAACCTAATATTCGGGGAACCGATAACCAGCGGCTGCTTCAAGTTAGCAGACAGGCGGCACCTACAGCAAGGAAGGACTCACGTTTCCCTGAAACCTCCAGTCCCTCAGCGCGTCGAGTACGATCATCGGTTCGTCGCCCCTTTATCCCATCAGCCTTCGCGTGGGAAGAGAAGAGAACCGGCACCCACCTCTGGAGTATACAATGCGCGCAAAAGCTGACGTCTCTTGGTACGCTAGCGATGTCCACACCCGCTTCAAGTGCTCATAAGCGCTCATTCCCGCAGAAATCAACACAAACACTCACACTCGGTCTTGAACCACTGTTCCGCCGCGTCTACCAGAGAGATATACACCATCTTGGTCTTGAACACGAGCTTTGCAAGATGGGCAATCCTGTCAAAGTTGACGTCCCTAGCCGTGTGCATGACGTTAAACCTATACAGAGCCTTACGGCGCTCTTCCTCGTCTGGCGGGTGAGGGGGAACGAAGAACCCCAGAGCGGTAAACTCGCGTTCTTCTTTGGTGCGTTTGTCGGGCCCCGGAAGGCCGGAGAAGGAGGAAAGAGAGAGGGAGGAGAATGTTGCCGGGATCTGGGAGGAAGGACGGTCGGTGCTGATTTCTGGGTCTGTGGCTCTTCTTGCTAGTGTCCCTCCACTTCCGCTGGCCACACCGCCCTCTCCACTCGTGCTTCCCTCCCCAGCAAGCGCAGCACTTCCAGAAATAGCACCACCGCTCCCAACCTTCTCCCCCACACTTCCCTGCCCCGTCCAACCCCCACCCCCCTCATCAAACGGGAACCCCGGGCTCCCCGAGCTGCCCGATCCCGACCCCGACCCCGAGCCAGAGCCAGATCGAGAGGGAGAGGGAGAGATAGCGTTCCTCAGCCTCGAGCCCGGCCCGTGAGGGGGTAAGAGCTGAGGCGAGAGCCCGTGCGCATGCGTAGGGAGCCTCAGGTCGGAAAAGTAGTCTCCCCCAGGGTCGGTACGGGACTGTACAGGTGCAGAAGCGGGCGGTACGGGCGGGGCTCTGCGCCCGAGGCGGAAATAACCCTGTGCTTGTGCTTGTGCTGGTGCTTGGGCTTGTGGTGTGGGCGCTTGTTGTGCTTGTGCGAGAGCAGGACTAGCCGGTCCCGCCGTTCTCACAGGAGGTGAATTCGGGGAAAGCGTCCCCCCAGTCCCAGTCCCAGTCCCAGCAGGCTCCTCAGCTTCAGGAGTGACCAATGGGCTCCCGAGTATAGTGTCCAACTGCGTTCCTCCCCCTCCCACGCTCCTTTCCCCTCCCACTTCAGCCCCAGGTCCGGGAGGATGATACCCCCAACCTCTGCGTTCTCCCTCCACATCCTGCGTCCCCTCCCAAAAACTGCCTTTCTGCGCCACCCGTTTCACTCCTACTCCCACCACTGCGCCGCCTACCGACCCGCTCAACCCCTGCCTCCCCACACCAGGGACAAGCTGATCATGCGTCCCCGGGATGGAGACTGTGAACCCCCTCAAGGGGTCCATGAGCTCGTGTTCCGGACTAGGGAGCGAGAGGGGGGCTACGTCCACTCGAGACCCTGCCCAGCGGATCGTTGCTGTCGCTGTGGCGGCTTCTAGCGAGGGGGAGGGGAGGGGGGAGCGCTGGTCGGGGAGAGGGAGAGGGATGGTGCGAGGGAGGAAACGGGGTGAGGGGGCGGAGGAGGGCTCGGACCCTGCGCGAGGGGAGAAGGGGGGTGGGGGGACTGGGGTGGTCGTTGGTGGGGAGGAGAGGTCGGGGGCGGGGGCTCCGCGTCGTTGTGCTAGGGACTGGGGCTGGAGATGGATACCAGGAACGGGAGGGAGCGGTTTTTCCGTTCCCGTCGTCCCAAGCAGAGAGGCAGAACGCGGTTCCTCCCCAGCCGAAGTCGGGCCAGTGCTCGTACTCTCCTGCCCTGAGCTCGAGCTCCCACTCCCAAGCTCGACCTTGCCCATTCCTGGGAGCTCATACCCCTGCGGACCGGAGGATATGCTCCTCCTCAACACCTGCGTCGTACTCCTCGTCAGCGTGTTCGGGACGGACGTCGCTCCAGGGAGGAAGGGGGGTGGGGAGCCGACCAAGGCGGACAGAGGCTGGTTAGGCGTGCGGATGGGGTCCCAGCGACCGAGGGCGTATGCCTGGACAAAGGAGCGCCAGTCTGTGCCTGCGCGTGGGCTTGAAGAGGGCATGGTCGCTGGTGCGGCGCGCGGGGTCTGAGTGGGGTCTTGGTCATCTTCTTGCTGTGTGAGGAGGGGCCAGGTCTGACATGCAGTAGATGTTGGGTAGGCGTAGGCTGCTGCTGCCCCTGGCGTAGGTGGATGTGGAGGGATATGCACCGGTTCACCTAGTTCGTCCTTTGCCGCTGGAGCAATGGAAGGAGCAGGCTCAGCAGGGAGGAAAACGGCGTGGGAATAATGTGAATGTGAGTCTGTGGGAGCGGTGCTTGGTCTGTGTTTCCTGCTATTGTGAGACTTTGGAGGACCACGCACGTGCACTCTGGGGGCGGGGGAAGGGAGGGGAGGAGAGGGTGAGGCAGGGGAACAGGCACCTGGTGAAGGAGAGGTCATGGTAACGCCCTTTGGAGTAGAGGGCGTAGGAGTGCAAGTAGTGAGGGGTCATATACCGAGCAACAGAAGAATGATGGGGGCGCACCCCTAGGGTCTGGCGAATTTCCTTTACAGAGGCGGGGCAAGGCAGAAAAGAGAAGAAGAGCGAGAGAGGCAAACGCGAAGAGAGAGAGGGGTCGAAAAGCGAAAGAGGCTTCAGGCACAAGCTCACCTACCCTGAGTTTTCGGCATGTCTAGCCATTCAATCATGCAACATAACAACGTAAGCTCGTACTATACTAACATTATACAACTCCATCGGGGGATTATCGGTCTTCCCATCCCCTTTCTCCCCTTTCTCCCCTTTCTCCCCTTTCTCCCCTTTCTCCCCTTTCTCCCCTTTCTCCCCTTTCTCCCCTTT